CAAACTACTGGTAGACTACTGATCCAAACTACTGGTAAATTACTGATTCAAACTACTGGTAAACTACTGATCCAAACTACTGGTAGACTACTGATCCAAACTACTGGTAGACTACTGATCTACTGATCCAAACTACTGGTAAACTACTGATCTAAACTACTGGTAAACTACTGATCCAAACTACTGATAAACTACTGATTCAAACTACTGGTAAACTACTGATCCAAACTACTGGTAAACTACTGATCCAAACTACTGTCAACCTACTGATCCAAACTACTGGCAAACTACTGATTCAAACTACTGGTAAACTACTGATCCAAACTACTGTCAACCTACTGATCCAAACTACTGGTAAACTACTGATCCAAACTATTGGTAAACTACTGATCCAAACAATTGGCAAACTACTGATCCAAACTACTGATAAACTACTGATACAAACTACCGATAAACTACTGATACAAACTACTGGTAAACTACTGATCCAAACTACTGATAAACTACTGATCCAAACTACTGGTAAACTACTGATCCAAACTACTGAAAAACTACTGATCCAAGATGTTTTGTAAAGATTCTAGGGCAGGCTGGTTTCTTGAGAGCTAAGAATAACAAGGTGAAGATGTTGTAAAGCTTTGGTACATTAATCTACATGTTTAAACAGAAAAGTGCTTGATTTCATTTTATTTTTTTATTTTTTATTTTTATCGGCAGGGAAGATTCTTGTTGATGTGAGTAACAACCGCAGAGCTAACCAGTATCCAGAGTCCAACGCTGAGTATCTGGCCTCGCTGCTACCAAACTCTGTTGTGGTCAAAGGCTTCAATGTGATCTCATCCTGGGCCATGCAGCAGAGCTGCCCTAAAGACGCCAGCACCCAGGTACAAACACGTCCAGTCTGCTAACACAAGCTGAAAAACCTCATCAGACATTACTGACAACAGACCAGAGACTTAGACCCCTTTAGAAGAGGAACCCAGTGGTTTTGTCATGTTTGAAAGCCTTTAACTGATATATTTAATTTGTTACTTCAAATCAAGTCTAAATTGTCAACTTTAACCTACAATAATGAATTTTTTCTGTCCTGATGGTATAATTGTTCATAGGATGACAGTTTACTACACAGGGCAGAAGATCTAATACATATGTAGTTGATACATAACCACATTATCAAACTAACAGTCTTCAACCCATGTAGACTCAGGCCTGTCCACATGGGAATGCTTTTTGCTATTTAAGTACTTTTTTATGGTGTCAGCCTTCCATTCATTCATTCATTCATTCATTCATTCATTCATTCATTCATTCATTCATTCAACCTTTATTTAGACAGGTTAATCCCATTGAGCCTCGAGGACTCATTTACAAGAGAGACCTGATTTCTTAACAAAGAGTGATGACAACAGTGGAAAAGGCGAATGTAGAAAACTAAAAACAGGAACAGGTCTGCATTGGTCCCTGCCAGGAGTCCAACAGATTCTTAAAGCCACTTAGAGAGGTCAAGGTCGAGAGCTTCAGATCTTTTTGTAAGATATTCCAGGAAACAGGAGCAGAGTAGGAGAAGGGCCTTTTACCTTGTTCAGTCCACACTGAGGGAACACTGCAGGTAATAACGGCCTGAGAGCGCACGCTGTAGCTGCACTCACGCAGAGACATGTAGGAGGAGATGTATGAAGGCAGCAGACCAAGAAGTGATTTAAAGATGAAAATATACCTGTGAGAGAGTCTGCATGAAGGTAATGATGTCCAGTTAACCAGTGAATACAGGGTGCAGTGGTGGGTACGATAGTTACAGCTGGTTAGTGCACCATGATAGACAGCATCCAACATCTGCAGGGTGCTTGTAGGAGCGTTCATGTAAATAATGTCACGGTAGTCGATGGAGGGAAGGAAAGTCTCAGTTACAAGGTGTTTCCTAGTGTTCAGAGTTAGAAAAGAAACCCAGTTTAACTTTCAGTTTCCTTACTAGGTTTTCCACGTGAAGCTTAAAAGAGAGATGTGAGTCGACCAAGATACCCATTTCACCAAACAAAACATTTTAGGAGCTCCTAAATGTGTTTTTTTTTTTAAGTTTATTAATTTAAATAGGGACATGTTGTTTTAGAAATAGGTTCCAGAGTGAACAAATCTTGACACTTGCGATCTTGTGCAGACAGCCTTGGCCAGATTTGGATCTGGAGCAGAAGCGTTAACGGCACCGAGGACGGAGATCAGGTCTGCGGAAACACGAGAGCTGTCAGCTTATTATAGATACCATTAAAACTCAACAAAGTTTTATTAATTTCCACTGGGTCAGATGTTACCCCTGCACCAATTCCACGTTTTGAACGGTATGCAGATATTTGTTGCAGGCAGCAGCAGTGGTGGACACAGTTCCGCTGAACTAATTTTTCATTTAGCAGATTAGTGGTTTTGCTAACTATGGAAACCGTTAGCGGAAATATCTTCAGCTAAATTAGGTTTTGCCAACTTTAAGTTCACTTACAAATATTGGCAAGCTTGTTCCTGTCTGTTGTGGGCGTGTCTCAAAGAGTCACTTGGACATGCTATTGAGGGCAGCACGGTGGTGCAGTGGGTAGAGCTGCCATCTCTCTGCGCTAATTGGCCAGCTCAAATCCCAGCTGGAGACCTTTCTGCATGTTCTCTACATGCTGCGTTTTCTCCGGGTACTCCAGTTTCCTCCCACAGACCAAAAACATGTATGTTAGATGTATGGTAACTCTAAATTGTCCCTAGGTGAGAGAGAGAGTGAATGGTTGTTTGTCTCTATGTGTCCCTGTGATGGACTGGAGACCTGTCCATGGTGTCCCTCGCCTCTCGCACAGTGATTGCTGGATATGGGCACCAGTGACCCCCGTGACCCAAAATGGAATAAGTGGGTAAAGATAATGGATGGATGAAATTTCCTTACTGTTTGTTGGTTTATGGTTCGTATTTTTACAGTTTATGGTTTGTTAATATAATCCATTGTTCCTACACAATGTGTAAGCAAATGGTGCTTCACACCTTGTTTTCTGTTTTTGGTGTACAGTAGTCCCTCGTTTATCGCGAGGGATCCATACCCAGAAGCCCTGCGATAAGTGAAAAACCACAAAGTAGGAATAGTACAACAGGTAGTAAGTAATATCAAATTTTAGTATTTGTATATATATATATATATATATATATATATATATATATATATAACCCTTCCCACACTCTTATAATGAAATTATAAAAATTATTATTGAAATATTCTAAACAATGTTTCTAAACTCTAAACGCTCTAAAAGAGCACAGAATGTCATGATTTCAGCTCCCTGCCTCGTCTGCTCTTTGCCAACTGCAAGCGTTCTTGGTCACGCCCACTTCTCCGCTCTGCTCAGAGAACAGCTGATCAGCTGCAGCAGGAAGTTTATCCTGCAGTAAGGGCTGCACAAAGGTGCAACATGTATTAAATACAAACAATTTTCAGTCAGGTCCTCTGGACAGTTTCTTTTTTTGTTGTGCTGAAACGTTTCACCTTCCATCCAGAAGGCTTCATCAGTCAAGGAAACACACAACACAAAAGTTATTCTTCCCCCAACAGCTTACTCCAAAGTGGAACAAACCAGATGACCTGACTGAAAAATGTTGGATTGTACACCTGGATTATTGAGCATGGACTTTGTTGTCAGGTGTAAAATAATTTAAAATAATTTATTTTAAATAAAAATTTCATGCCGATCGTGCGGCTCATCCATCAGTCAGCCAATTGTGTGTTATGTCCAATCATATTTTGAAAAACCGCGATAGAACAAGTCCGTGATAAACGAACCACGAAGTAGCGAGGGACTACTGTATTTCCATGACAATGTCACAGCACCTCATACAGGCCTGACTAAGTTTCAACAGTGCTTTTTCTGAGAAGGCCAACATTTCCAGAGATGTTGTCACGTTCACAGTTGTTTTATTTTTGGAAAGGACGGATAGAAATACTGTTGTAATAAAACAAGCAAAAACATTCCCCTGTGGACAAGACATAATGCCACCGTTAAGCCTTTTAGCATGAACTGCAGAATGTGCTGTGTTCTGCTCAGACTCTGTTCTTGTTGCGCCACCTCTAACCAAATGGTCATCTCTGTGATTCTGGCTCTGGTAGGTCTTCATCTGCAGTGACTCTGTGGAGGCTCGACATCTGATCATGGAATTAGCCCACCAGATGAACTTTCAACCTGTGGACATGGGCTCTCTGTCATCTTCTCGTGACATTGAAAACATCCCAATACGGTTGTTCCCCGGTTGGAAGGGTCCCGTCTTCGCTGCCGTGGCCCTTTCCATCTTCTTCTTTGCTTATTCTTTTGTACGAGATATAATCCACCCATACGTAAAACACAAGCAGAATGAGTTCTACAAGATCCCCATGGAGCTGGTAAATCGGACCGTACCCAGTGTTGCGATCACTCTCTTGGCCCTAGTGTACCTGGCAGGCCAGCTGGCAGCTGCCCACCAGCTCTACTGTGGTACCAAGTACAAGCATTTCCCCCAGTGGTTGGAGGAATGGCTGCAGAGCAGGAAACAGTTGGGTCTGATTAGCTTTTTCTTGTCTGCTGTCCACGTTCTCTACAGCCTGTGTCTGCCCCTTCGAAAGTCTGAGAGATACCTGCTGCTCAACGCTGCCTCCCAGCAGGTCAGTAGGACAAATCCCGTCAAATAATAAACTAAGACATTAAAGAGTAAAGGAATCTCTGAATACTTGCACATGTTTACCTGAATGTTATTTCTCTATTCTCCTAAAGTTATTGTTTGTGGCACATGAAAACTCATTATTACTTAAATTATACATGTTTATTACATTTTTCACCTAACGACACCCTCCCTTTTTGTTATTGCAATGCATTATGGGGCGATCATATACATTGACTAAAAAGAGACTAAAACACAACGAGTTGAGACTAAAAAGTTATAACATGACATAAAAGTTATATTTTGTTTTAGTCATTATGCACAATATATGGGTTGAAACAATCATGATCAACTTGTTGATTAATTTATTATCTCTGGAGCTAACATCATAGCACTGGAGCTACTGCTATTAGGTCTGGAGCTAACATCGTATGTATTAGCCATCCATTCATCCATCACTTTGTTCTGGAGTCAGGTCTTGGGGGCAGCAGTGAAGATCCAGACATCTACAGCCAACTCTTTCAGCTCTTCTGGGAGGAACCCAAGCAGTTCCCAGGCCAGCTGAGAGACAGCTGCTCCTCCACAGACATGACTTTAATCAGTTTGCATCGACTCAGCATTGGCAAATAGTGTCTCCATTTCCTGTTCCTGCTCAGTTTCTGAAACCAACCACAGTCGTGGTTCCAAGTGAGCCAAGCCGAGCAAACGGTCTGATGTCAGCAAACTGCAGCCATTGATTGGTCCGTGGATCGACGTCACTGGATGAGCCAAGGATGTACTTCCATCCATCCATCCATTTTCTTTACCCGCTTATTCCATTTCGGGTCACGGGGGTCGCTGGTGCCCATGTCCAGCAATCACTGTGCGAGGGGCGGGGTACACCCTGGACGGGTCGCAAGTCCATCACAGGGCCACACAGAGACAAACAACCATTCACTCTCTCACTCACACCTAGGGACAATTTAGAGTTACCAATCAGCCTAACATGCATGTTTTTGGACTGTGGGAGGAAACCGGAGTACCCGGAGAAAACCCACGCATGCACGGAGAGAACATGCAAACTCCACCCAGAAAGGCCCCTGGACCGGGGTTTGAACCAGGGACCTGCTCGCTGAGAGGCAGCAGCTCTACCAGTTGCGCCACCGTGCTGCCCAAGGATGTACTTTCAAACTACCAATCCAACAAGATCAGAACTGTACTTAACAATAGAAAAGTGACTGTTGTCTCTCCAGCATGTCCTGGGTTTTCCCCGGGGTCTCCTTCCAGTTGGACATGCAGGAGCACCTCTTTAGGGGGATGTCCAGGGGGCATGCTTACCAGATGCCAAACGACCTCAACTGGCTCCTCTTGATGTGGAGGAGCAGCGGTTCTACTCCAGATCTCTCCCAGATAACTGAACTTCTAACCCTAGTCCAGCTACCCTGCAGAGGAAACTCATTTCAACTGCCTGTATCCACAATTTTGTTTTTTGGTCACTATCAGAGTTTGTGACCATAGGTGAGGGTAGGAACACAGACCGACCAGTAAACAGAGAGCTTTGACTTACAGCAAATAAACTGAATTGAATTGAAAAACAAACAAACAAAAAAAACAGACTAGCCAACGATGTTACACACAAGAATATGACAGAGCATGAAACAAAACCAGGAGCTTTATCTGCTGGAGAAGTGGATTAGTGAGTGAGTGCAGCTGGGATGATTAGATTAAGAGCAGGTGTTTGACAGGTGAAAGAAAATAACTGAGGGAAACGATGAGGAAAAAAGTAACCAACATGTCAGGCTAAGTAGGTAACAAAGATGACTGGCAGAAATAAATGAAAACGTATTGAAAAGGTTCATGCAAAAACTGAAAAAAAGAGGGATTTACATTTGCATATTTCTGGAAAGGCTGTGTCTTATATCAAACAGCCAGAAATTATAGTACATTCAGAATAAACCTTTATCCTCCACGTCAACAGATCCGACCTGACGTGGAAAGCTCGTGGAACGAAGAGGAAGTGTGGAGAGTGGAGATGTACGTGTCCTTCGGCATCATGAGTTTTGGGCTCATGTCTCTTCTGGCCGTTACCTCTATTCCTTCTATCAGCAGCACTCTCAACTGGAGGGAGTTCAGCTTCATTCAGGTAAACACCACATCCAAAAGAATATTCAAACATTCCACGTTTCAGAGAAGCCTCTCACCAAATGGACCAAAAGGTTTGGTTTATGCACGCTCTGTAAAATTAGTAACTAAGTTCTTCTACCTAAAGGTGGAACCCAAAGGATCTACTTAAAGGTAGAACATAAAGGACCTACTAAAGGTGGAACCCAAAGGATCTACTTAAAGGACCAAACTAAAGGTAGAACATACATGACCTACCTAAAGGTGGAACCTAAAGGACCTACCTGAAGGTCTTCTACCTAACTAGGCTGACAGCTTATTTATGATGAACAGCACACGTTCTAATGCAGAACCTCAAAACATCTCTCTTTTAATATCCTGATGCATGCTCAATAATCCAGGTATAAAAATCCAAAAAAGTTCAATCTGGTCCTCTGGACATTCACAAAAAACAAAAAACAAAACAAAGCAAAAAAATATAGAAACGTTTCGTCTCTCATCCAAGAGAATTCCTCAGTCTGAGGTGCTGTTTTCAACTCAGTCTCTTAAATAGCACCTTCTCAGAGTGGATCAACCAGTTTGCTGCTGACAACCAAAACCAGCTGATCACATGCTCAAGAAGGACCATCAGCCTAACAATGGATCATTAGCACACTGATGGCTGTTTACTGTTCACAGAGGGCTGAGTGATACTAGCAATCACAGCATTGTAAGAGGGGGACAGTTGAACCCGGAGGCCTCCGCCCCTGTTTAATGATGGACGATTTCTTTTCACAAAGATGGCCTCCTTTACTCCTCTCTCAAACCATCGTTCCTCTCTGTCCAGGATGTGCACATCTTCATCCCTGAAAGAGTGACCGCTGGCCTGGAGATGAGTGTAGACCGCAGAGTCCTGGCCTGATGATGTTGATCTTCTGTGCTGGGCCATCCTTTTGGCCAGTGGCTGTTGTTTCCCCGATGTAAGACTGATCACAGCCCTCCTGACACTGAACAGCATACACAATATTACTCTGTTTGTGCCGGGGGACTGGATCTTTGGGATGAACCAGTCTTTGCCGTAATGTATTTTGGGGTTTAAAAGCCACTGGGACGTTATGTTTAGAAAATAAACGTCTCAGTTTCTCTGATACTCCCTCAACATACGGAATGACCACTGGTCTGGGTCTGGGTTCCTCCTTTTCACCTGTTGGCTGACTGGAGTCCTGTTTGGGTTTCTTCTCTGCTTTCAGGAAGGCCCAGTTAGGATATCCACATTGCTCTAGAGCCTGTTTTGTGTAGGATTTCTCCTTCTGCCTGGCTCCCGAGCTAGTGGGGACGCTGTCTGCTCTGTGGTACAGAGTCCTGATGACTCCTAACTTGTGCTCCAAAGGGTGATGGGAGTCAAACTGCAAATACTGGTCTGTGTGGGTGGGTTTGCGGTACACCTCGGCTTGCAAATGTCCTCTATCAGAGACTGAGACCTCACAGTCCAAGAAAGCCAACTTGCCATTTTTTACATCTTCTCGTGTGAACTTGATGTATTTATCCACAGAGTTGATGTGGTCAGTAAAATGTTGGACTTCCTGAGATTTAATTTTAACCCAGGTGTCGTCAACATACCTGAACCAATGACTTGGTGGTGTCCCTGAAAAGGACGTCAAGGCTCTCTTTTCTACCTCCTCCATGTACAGGTTGGCAACAATAGGAGAAACTGGAGACCCCATAGCACACCCATGTTTCTGCCTATAATATTGCTCCCCATATGTGAAGTAGGTTGACTGCAGGCACAGTTTCAAGAGTTGACACAGTTGTTCTGTGGAAAGCGTGGTCCTGCTGCTCAGAGTGGTGTCTGATTTTAATTTTGAACTGACCACCTCTACTGCATCATCAACAGGAATGCACGTAAAGAGGGATGTGACATCAAAAGAGACCATTGTTTCATCAGTCTCCATGATGACATCCCTCACCTTGTCCACAAAGTCCATGGTGTTCTGTATGTGGTGTTCTGAGCTGCCAACTAAAGGGATGAGTACAGACGCCAGATATTTGGAAACATTGTAAGTGACAGAGTTAATCATGCTAACAATAGGTCTTAAAGGTACACCTTGTTTGTGGATTTTAGGTAAACCATACAGACTAGGTGTGGCCTCCCCTGGGTACAGTCTGTGGTACAGAAAACGGTCAATAGCCTTGTCCTGCTCCAAATTTTTCAGGCAATCTATTAACTTCTTCTTGTAACCACTTCCTGGATCTCTTTTCAGAGGTTAATAAGTGGTTAAGTCATCAATATATATAAATGCTAAAATAAATTTAACGTCCCTACTTGGTGGATTTTCACCTTTTGTGGGGGTGTCTGGAACATAACCCCCGCGATAAGTGAGGGACTACTGTATTATGTGATTGGTCGGAAGTTTGATGGCAAGTTTGTTAATGTGGAAATGCACTCCGACGTTCAGCGGCATGACTCTTTAAACACTATTCAAACGGTCAAAAACTCCTGGATGGAGATTGTGCCGACATCGTGTATGGAGGAGAGTGTTGAAAAGTGTGGCGCTCGCTTCATGTTAGATCTGTGGCCAAACATTGGATGCAGGGACGAGTAGAGATTCTGGCGAGAAGTTCAGTGACGTTTACTGCAGGGGGCAGGGTTTCCCAGGAGCTCTTTGTCTGTGTCTCATGGACTATGAAGGGTGTGTGAAGATGAACATCCCGCAACAACATGACCACAATTTGACCGTTTGGCTTCAGGTGGAGTATGTCCGGCACTTTGCTCTTTTTCTCTCAAACCATCGTTCCTTTATCAAGGGTGTGAACATCTTCATCCCTGAAAGAGTGGCTGGTGGCCTGCAGATGAGTGTAAACCACAGAGTCCTGGCCTGATGATGTTGCTTTTCTGTGCTGGGCCATCCTTTTGGCCAGTGGCTGTTTAGTTTCCCCGATGTAAGACTGATCACAGCCCTCCTGGCACTTAACATTCTTGGATAAAGAGCTATTTCAAAGTTTTTATATGCCCATCGAAGGTGGGACGCATAACAGAATAGTCTCTGTAAACTGTCTCTTGTCTCATCTAGGTCTGTTTAAGATAATTTATTGGAACTTCATACACACATGTAATGGTTAATGGTAAATGGATTGTACTTAGCGCCTTTCTATCTTATCAAGATACTCAAACCGCTTTACACTACAACTTGTTCCCTCATTTACATATATATATATATATATATATATATACAAAGACTAATCAGTGCTTTATCACATTCATACACCAATAGGACACACATCAGAGGCAATGAGGGGTTCAATGTCTTGCCCAGGGACACTTCGGCATGTGACTGCTGGTGGAATATAACCCCAAACTCTTGCAGAGGAGAACAACTGCGCTAACCCCTCAGCCACAGCCGCCCAATGATATGTATCAACACTAGATGAAGTGGCTCGTACACTTTTCATCACATCAGCTACAAGGTCACAAATAAAGGTCCAAGTTCCAACAAGGTCTTTTCTTGTCCCAAGAAACTTCTGATCCACTCGAGATAATTTAATGAAATGTGATCTGTATTTGTACCACCACACTATTGCTATAGATTGCTGTATAAGTTTATAGACGAGCTTACTGTATAATATGCCATACTGCTGGTGGCATTAGAAATACCTATGTCCATCAGAATCAGTTCATACTAAATGTTGTGAGCATGCAAACTTGTGCTAACTAAAACTAAAAAACAAGTGAGGTACCAAATTCCATTTGGTGTGTGACTAAATCTAGGCCTAAGAAAGGTTCTCTTTGAAAATTCAGTTGTCATGTCAAAATCCAAGATGGCCTCCACCATATGTATATGTAAACCAGCCACCACATTCTTTTGAGGAAACTCTGCTTTCTAGTATTTATCTTGCTTAAAAGTATATTTTCCTCAAATGATTGGGGTGGATGAAGATTAATCTATGGTGGCCAAGGCCACCATTGGCCACCCCCTGGTTCCACCATTGCGCCTTGTGGTGGGTGAAAAAAGGCTCCCTCCCCTCAACAAGATCATCACTCTGTGTTGCCTCAGACAAGAAATATAAATAAATAAACGTACCTCTGTTCTTATACACAGTGTAACTTCTCCACACTTGAATATCCATCCATTCATCTATCCATCCATCCATCTATTATCTTTACCCACGTCTTCCTTTTTTGGAAGTAAAGCTAAGTTCCACCCAAAGATGTCACCACTCTCGCAGTGTTTTCCCCCCTCACATATCTACTCCAGTCTTCTGATTCACAGTGTCAGTTTACAGCCAATAACAGAGACTCTATAATAAATGCCAAACAGGAACAGGAAAATAATGGATGGATGGATGGATGGATGGATGGATGGTGGAAGGATGGATGGGTGGATGGATAGGATGAATGGATGGTAAGATGGATGATGAATGGAAGGATGGATGGAAGGATTAATGGATAAATGGATGGATGGATGATGGATGGATGGACAGATGGAAGGATGGATGAAAGGATGAATGGATGGATGAAAGGATGAATGGATGGAAGGATGATGGATGGAAGGATGAATGATGGATGGATGGGAAGATGGATGGATGATAGGATGAATGGATAGTTGGATGGATGATGAATGGAC